AAATATGGGAACTCTACCAAAAAAAACATACTTATGTTTTACCGAGTTGCAGTCACTGTGGTCGCTGTTTTGTTTAACCACAGATGACACCTTACGTGAATCAGTAATCACTGTTTCAGAAGTCTTATCTTTTTCTTCATCTCTTGGATGCTGTGTGATAGGTGATAGACCTCTGTTACAAAACCAATTTTTGCTCATATTGAAAGGCTTTCCCTGGAAAAGTTCAAATATATTGTTTTGTAATTATTCCGTTTCAACTTAGAGAAATAATACCATTCCAAAAAATAATAGATATACAATATCGACTATCTTCAGGAAGAATACAACATGCTTGTTTTTAGTGAAAAGATATTTGATAAGAGTGCTCTCAAAAATGTCAAAAAGCCAATTATATTAGAGTAATTTTTGTCATTAGCTTTTTTCCCAATGAACTGACATCCACAAGCCATTTTTTTCCGTGCAGCAATAGTATATGTTGATTGTCAAAGTAAAATACTTTATTTTTAATTGATTCTAGTAGCAATACCAGTGAATGATGTTCGAAATTTTACCAAACTCAATAATACGTAATGTGTTATCATTAAACACTATATCCATGCATTAACACTAGAAATTTTTGAGTGTACAGATACAGGAAATAGGTATGATTTCCTGTTTTCTACGCAAATGTTTGATAAAGTCAGATATGTCAAATAGATCCGATAGAAAACCTTAGGAAATTACGATTCACTCCCTCATCAACTCCTAACCCTCAAAATTTATTTGGATAATGATCAAGAGCCCCTGAATCGTCAAAAAACAAAGTTTGAGCGATTTCTATTTTTTCGTTTGTGGCCCTTTTCTCTGACGCCACTGGACCTATTTTTAAAAGCTAAAGCTTTCTTGTCCATAGCCTCGTAGCAACCTTGTGTCTAAATTTCATCAAAGTCCCAATGGTACTTTCCACGTTATAGCAGAAATGAGTATCATGGTTTTCCGTGATCTACATGTCATATAGCATCCAACAAAACATAATACCTCACTTTCAAAATATCTTGCGATTACAATACTTCCTCGACCGTTGACGTGGGAAGTAAAACATGATATCTCTGATTTGCAATTTTAGATTTAGAATTTTATCACCCCGCTACTGTACCATATAGGAAATAATCAACACAATCTCCCGTTTAAAATTATCATTGTCTACATATAAAGTCGAGCTACTTGACACCGTGAGTCAAAAGCACAGTCTGTAGTGATTTTGTATTATAATGCAAAAAACGGAATCAGTACATATACAGGTATGTACCCTAAAAAAGATGTAAAGCAGCAGCTAGAAAAAAGCCAAAATGAGCTTTGATTGAAGTATTCTATTTTTAAATTTTCAGTGATGTATGGTCACACTCAATCTACTTGACCCTGTTCTTTAACTTGAAAAAAAAAACATTGTAGCTTTACATTCAAGAATCACCTATACAAAACTAAACCAACAAGATTAGATAAAGTTTGGCGTAAAATTTATGGGGGTTGACCTTTTGAACAGCATTGTTTTATCCTTCACGCTACTCAATATTCATTGCTTTTCCATTAAATGTAAGTAATACAGTCATATTACCATCATATCCTATTAACGATTGCATAAGAGTTCAAAAAGTCATACTTACCTCAACAGTCCTTTCAGACACACTCTTGAATACACAACAGATTTGAACGTCCTTCCAGCACGATTGGTGCCAATAAAATGAATTCTCAGATCTTAGACAAACCGACAAACCCTATCCCCGGGCGCACGCGCTTTATTGACTGGAATTAAAATGATCGGGAGACCGATCTGACGTCAGACGTACGCCATTCAGCTAGTTCGGGTATTGTGGAGGACTCAGCACTGGTTTGCGTATTGAAGAGTATTCTTCATGGGAGATTGATCCACCAGTGTTTAGTTAATTCGAGTATTTTGGGAGACTCAGTGCTGGTTTCTTGTGAATCGTATGGTAGAAGAGTATTCTGCATGGAAGACCGATCTAGCAGTGTTTAGTAAATTCAAGTATTTTGGGAGACTCAGTGCTGGTTTCTTGTGAATCGTAGGGTAGAAGTGTATTTATTCTGCACGGAAGACCGATCTAGCAGGGTTTAGTAAATTCAAGTATTTTGGGAGACTCAGTGCTGTTTTTTTGTGAATCCGAAGGTATTTTGATGGACGATTGTATCATATGGCTTTTGGTTGGCGTGACTATATGGTTAAGTCTGAGCTATTAGAGAAAATCGTTGATATACGATTTTATTTCAAGATTAGGAATATTCTCATAGATAGATGGTACCAAACATGAATGGTGATTTCCTTATCCAAAGATAACGTCACATGATTGTAAGGCTCAGTATAGTGATTAGGTAATTCAAGTATTTTAGGATACTCAATGCTGTTTTTTGCGAACCGGAGGGCAGGGAAGTATTTCAACTGCTAATATCACAGATTTGGAAATTACGCGTCTAAAGCTTATCATCATTAGGATGTCGTCGATACGACATAGGCTATTGGAAAAGCAAAGTGCTCGATCTGAAAGTTCATACAACCTCCTGGACATGTAATAGAAAAAAGTATTCTTGATTGTGTGGGCTGCTCGATGATCTGATAATTTTTGCATAGGTAAGTTATAATTTACGAAACGTTGGGCATCCTTCTGTCGTATGCTAGCAACGTTTTGTATAGTCTTAATCGAGCAAATAGTGTACTCAAAGTTGCTGGAAAGAATTTTGGTTATATCCATTGGAGATCCTTGAAAAATAATATAATAATACAAGTCCAAGTTAGGAGACTTCAGTAGTATTATGTAAAGAGAAATAAATGAAACTTGGCACCACTGCACGGATGACTTATCTACTGGTGTTTAGTTAATTTGAGTATTCTGGGGGACCGAATGCCGTTTTGTGATCTGAAGGGTATTCCGGTAGAGGACACATCTTACGGTTTTTAAAAGGTAGACCTATATAGCGGACTTTATATGAAAATCCGAAATGTTAATGTACAGTTTTTTGAGCTGATCCTGGATCAGTTTGCCTTTTTGTTGGATATACACGAATCAAATTTGATATATATTCGATATTTCTGGTAGGTGACTTATTGCTGGGAATTGAAAGGATTACCGATCCACATGGAGATGTAAATATATATATATATATAACCCTTATATATATATATATAGGTGAAAAATAAAGCTTCCGCCTTTTGTTGGGTACTTCGACAAAATTCATGCAATGAGGACTCTTTATATTTTACTAGTCTCTAGCTTTCAGTGGACTTTGCCATCTTCATCAGGAGAACAAGACGACAATGACCACGTCTCAAGTTATATATATATATATATATATATATATATATATATATATATATATTATATCATAGATATAGGTAATTTGATCAAACTACAATGCAGTTTTTATGTCTCTTTCACTTTATGCATTACCGACCACGTTTCGAAAAAAAGGTTCTAGAAAAATAACAAACACGCAAGAGGTGTTATAATGATTTTTATTTATTTCACCTCATACCATCAATTAACATGAAGAGAGCCAACCTAATATTTCCATATTCCAAAAATTTATCCGTGATGAAATGAGATAGCTTCGCATCATCTATGAGAGTGTGTGACAGCTATTTTACTCCTTTCCACAATAATTAGAAATCTACTTTAAAAAACTTAACATTTCGAAGATATATATATATATATATACATCACATCGTTATTAGATCATCCATCAACAGGACAATTTGCATGCTGTAGATCAGCGGTTCCCAAACTTTTTAAGTCGCGGAGCACTTTTGGACAGGAAAATTTAACGCGGAGCACTAGAGTAGGCTGTTTGATGGTTTCAACTGCCTGCAACTGGATATAGGTCTTTGTTCAATTTTAGAAACGTACATTGAAGAAACAAATATTTATTAAACAAAAAGAACAACTAACTCTAGCACAGAAAAAAATGTAATATTTATTAAATATACCTAATATAAGCCAAAAGCAAATTTTAAAGTAATGTGTGAAAATAACATAAAACAAAAACTTATTTCGATACAAAAATGAAACATAAAACATACATCCAAAAACAAAACTACAACTACTTAATAAAACCACCAACTTTTCTAATGAGAAGGATGTGCTTGTTTTAATTTGCTTAATGCTGTGATGTTAGGTTCAATTTCAGACAACTGTAAACGAATATCAGGTTCTGTATTAAGACGCGACCGGTATTTAGTTTTGGTCATAAGATAAGCAGAAAATCCAGCTTCACATAAATAAGTAGTAGCAAAAGGGAGCAGAATAGTTTTTGCTTTATCTGACAGAAGATGAAATTCATGTCTAAGTTTACACCAAAATTCTATTATTGATGACTTTGTTAGAAATATATCTCGTATTCCAGAATCAGATGTCAAATCGATCAAACATTCATATTCTTCAGATGTTAAACTCGCTGGCTTTTCAGGTATTGCGTTATATGGGTTTGCTACCCAAGAATTGTAATTCATTTTGTCATGAAATTCTTCTGGAAAATATTCCTGGTAATTATTGCGTAAAGTTATAAGATGAATATAGAACTCGTTCATAAGATCATTTGGTAGATCAAAATCAAATTCTTCTTTAAGTTCTTTTAACGACGGAAAGCTGTCCCAATTTTGTTTATTCAGGGACTCTGCCCAAAAGACCAATTTTCTTTTAAACGCTCTGAATTTTTTATTCTGTCGTTAACATCAAAAACAGAAATTGACTTTCCTTGAAGTGACGTGCTTAAATCATTAGCTTTAGAAAAAATATCAGCCAGATATGCCAACTTTGATATCCATTGCTCTTCGTTAAATCTCCCTTTTAATGCGAAGTCACTTTCCATCAAAAAACTCCTTACTTCGGCTCTTAATTCAAATAGCCGAGTTAAAGTTTTGCCCCGTGATAGCCATCTTACCTCCGTATGAAGCAGTAAAGTCGTATGTAGACTACCCATATCATCACACAATATTTTAAACAACCTGGAATTTAGCAGTTACTATTTTTTTCTTTAATTCTAGCTACAACACCACTTGTTTTTCCAGTCATAGCCTTTGCGCCATCGGTGCATACATCAATGCAATTCTTCCAAGGTATATCATGTGCAACAAAAAATTCGTCAAGCAATTTGAAAATCTCAGCCCCAGTAGTACTAGTTGGTAGTGGCTTGCAAAAAAGCAAATCTTGAAAAGAGTTGCCAAATTGGAAGCGAACAAAAACTATCAATACAGCCAATCCAGCCACATCTGTCGATTCATCAAGCTGTAGCGAAAAGGAACTACCTTTTATTCGAGAAATTAAAGTGTTTTTTACGTCATCAGCCATTTCTACAATGCGCCTAGAAATAGTGTTATTTGATAGTGGAACTGTAGTAACTAGTTTCACATCCTTTTCATCCATCATAGTTTCAACTATATCTTTGACGCAAGGCTTGATTAAAGTTTCAGCAATAACATGAGGCTTGCCTGCTTTAGCGATTCGGTAACTAACTAAGTAGGATGCTTTTAACGACCTTTCGCTCAGTGTCTGTGCATGAAAAGTTATACTTTTTTGTGTATTTTTTAATTCACTGGATTTTCTTTGAAAAAAATCATTCGGTTTGTCTTTACATTCAGGATGAACTATTTCCAAATGTCGTCGCATTTTCGCTGGAAACATAGCACTGTTGGGTAACACTTTACCGCATATTACACATTGTGGTTTATTGTCGTTGGTTTCAATGAATCCGATATCCAGATAAGAATCATGGTATTTTCGTTTTGCAGTTTTTCTCTCACAAATACTCATCTTTGATGGACCAGATGTTTGACAATCAATTACTTCAGCTGATGTTAGTAAACTCGCAACAGACTCGGATTTTCTCAATATCTGCAATTCTGTGTCTTCAGTGTGAGCTATTTCCCTATTTTCTTTTTCCATATTGCTAAACACAATACTCGATTCAGACAAATACTTTTAAAAATAAGATTTTAAAAATCTGGCACCTACCCGTTCCCAAAAAACTCACACACAAGCACAAAAAACTGCTTTTGTAGTAGGAGAAATATGCCTAAAACGAAATATGCGTTGCCACTTATACAGTAATTTTTATTTCACGTCAAACGTAAGTATCCCATTTTACCCGTATTTCCCCTACCTTAAAATGTACAAATCCGTACCTGTTGGGGTTAGATCCCTGCATTTCTGCATCTGTAGCTGAAATCGCTGTTTTCTTCAAAACACCTGTTTTAAGCCAAAGATCCATTATAAAACAAGTAAATTTAACCTGGAAATAGATATTTCACCATAAAAAAAGATACATGTATGTTAGTTAACCTACTTACGAATGATAACTTATCCCAACTTCAATTCAATTAGTGAAATTCAAAGGCACAATCGCAAAAAATAAATAAAAACTGTGTTATCTCTTTACGATGCACCCGACAAACATTTAGCGAACGTAAATCGTATGTTCCGGAAAGAACAAGTCATATCCTAGCATTAATACGAAAAAATACGATTGTTTCCGAACTGTTCCGGCGCACAGTACATTGAAGTGTGGCGCGGCGAATCTTTGCATTAGTAAGAGGCTTGATGTAACATCAAGGAGAATATAACATTATAGGTATTACTTGAATACGATATTTCTCAGATGAAATCCGCGGAGCACTTGAAAACGTACCACGGAGCACCTTGTGCTCCGCGGAGCACAGTTTGGGAACCGCTGCTGTAGATCATCCGGCGCGTTAGGTAGCCCGTATACGGGTGATCTAACGCAATTCATCTAGAACAGCTACAAATATTATATTTAATCATTTGACAAGTTTTCAGAGGGATGACTTATATCTGCTTTTTGTAAAATTTGAGTAATTTAGTTCACCCATTCTCCAGATGTGCGGATAGCGCTAGTATATCTCGTATATCGGTGCGCGTATACCTCAATTCATCTCTACAGTGGATAGATCATCTAGAGGGTAAGGCCTGTATGAATCTCCAACGATAGATCATCCATAAGCGTGGCGGCAACATGTCTGCATGGAATACTTATCGATTTAGGATTCAGAATAGGTTTTCGGCTTGATGCTTGATCCCAAGGATCAAGGAAATAATTGTGTTGCTTGACTGTAGTATATGTCAATTTGAAAATCTGAAGATACGAAACGCGTTACTAATTTCAATTTTCTTTGTAAGGCCTCTTGCTTTTAGACATATAGCATATTGATAACAATGTTTCATGGAAAGACCGACCAAAGACTCGGCTTCAGCTAGTTTCGGCCAAAAATTCTAGTTTCGGCTTCAGTTTCAGTTTCAGCAAATAATTGACCACACCTTCGGGCACACCGAAGTGCTCTCCTATCATGTTTATTGATTTCATTCATGTTAAATTTTTAATATGTTAATATAACATAGATAAATATCTTAATATCTATCTTATCTAAATATTTCAGTTATTGCTTTTATTTCATTTAATACAAGTTAACAATTGTGTGTGTGTGGAAGATACATTTAAGGATCTATACAAAATTTTACCATATTTCAATAAAGTTCGGTTTTCTGCCAAAAATGATACCGCGGCCGAAAATTCGGTTTTGTTTTTGGCTAAAAATCTTGTTTCAGTCAGACAATCCATGCCCTTGAACTGATATGTCCATGTCTCATCTAAAACAAATCGTAAAGCATACATTATATATTTTATTGTTAGAAAGTTTTCACAAAAATTAAAATGGAAATATTCGCTATATAAAGAAAAACATAAAAAGGAACGGTTTCATGTTTATAACTTTTTCTATACTGATTTTGAACAAAAACTTTAATTTTCAACCAGTTTTTATTTTTAAGCAGCTCTTGATGTTAAGCAAAGAGCTCTTCACATTAATTTTGCCTTGGAGGTCGCTTTAGCCTGATGTGATCTTTGAAAAATTTATTAACTACTTTTTTTGCTCTTCTGTCCATGGTACCAGGACCCTCTTCTTCATTATTGTATTCTTTGTACTTTTTATATTCATGTCCAATTCTTTTTCACTCCTTTCTTGTGTGCTTGTGGTTTCATTATTGTCTATATCCAAAACACTAGGCATATCTTTATCTTTTCCCGCAATTTCCATCAAATCATCGTCCAAATCGATATTGATTTCATCTAAGCTTTTTCCTTTGAACTCTCCAGCTTTTCCTTGTTCCATGAGTATTAGCAATTTGGAAATCTTCGCCGTCTGATATACATCATCCGGGAGTCGATAGGAAGATCTGTGGATCCCCAGTGTATGCCCCATGAAGGAAGCTAACTGCTCCATATCATTTTCATTCATGTTAAATAATTGTGTAAGCGTGGCTAGATGTTTTCTCAACCGTGTACACGTGAGAGCATCTGGATTTTTTGCCCCGCAAATTGTTGCGTATTTCCTGAGCACTTTGTAACCAACAAGAGGATCTCCAGAATCTGGATTTGCGAAAAGATAAACCGTTTCTTTCTGAACAACATCCTTTCGGCATTTTAAAATAATGTTAATGTGTTCGCTTATGTCTTTGCTGATTAGTACTGGAACGCCTCTATTTCTTTTCCCTTTTATCACTATTCTTTTGAAGCTATTCATTAAACACCTTTCCGTTGCAGAAATTACTTCCGAAAATTCCTCGTATGCTTGTTTATTTTCGTTGCTCATAGCTGATGTGTATGTGTTGAGCAGTAATCTTTGGAGTTCTCCAGGGCGGCGTCTGTTCAGAAGCAATAATCTGCAATAGACTATCTCAATCAACTTGATATAGGCCTTTTTGTCATGCCTGCTAGCTTGCAGCATAGATACTGCCGAAGTAGCTTCTTTCTGTAAGCACTCTTTCAATAATTTAAGATCTCCAGCCAGTGGTACTAGAGTGACCTTATTCCATCTATGTATGTTCAGATCCGTTGCAGCCTGACTTGAAACATCAAATCTCCAGTTTCCCTCGATGATCTGAATTAATGTTTTAAGGTCTGCTTCTATATCAGCAGACTGGACAGATGGGAGCACTGCCGACTTCTTCAATGCCTGAACGAGTGCAATGTGGTACCCATATTGAGAGCAAACGTAGGTGCTTGATATGACTGGGTTTTTTTGTCATATTTTGAGGCATTTTGTTTGGCAGAAACAAGAGTATCATAGTTTACCGGTTTTAGGGCATCAAAAGTGTTAATATAGCGGGTTCAATTTTCCTAACTTCTATCAAGAGTCTTGCTAGTTCTCTCATTTTTCGTGATGCGACTGTAATGAAGTGTTTCTCCCTGTGAATTTTCAAGTATCTTGAAGCAAAGGCATATATGAGAACATCCTTTTTTGCTACAAGTGAAATGTGATCTGCCCTCATTCGAGAAAATACAACAGATGCTAAATGTGGATCTGTTCTCAAATGCCCGAGCAATAAGTTTTGTCCCTCGCCTCGGACATTTTTTGTGATTTTCCCTTACTCGGATTTCCAGCACAATATTTTCGATGTCGCCATAAATTCCTTGTAGAATAGAATCCAAAGCAGTATGTGCAAGGTAGATAATTTGAATCCAGTTTACCCTGTCGTACTGGCTTAGCAAATTCGTTGCTGTTTAAATAATTCCCCTTTTTTCTTAAATCTAATAGTAAATTATACCTATCTTTACTACGTGGAGGTAGCGCTTGGACTCTCTGTACCTCCATTTCACTCGCATGATTCCTAAATAAGTGCCTGGGGAAATGTATAACGTAAGATTCACAAAAGTAACAAAACACGGAATTTTTTTCCATTTGAAGATCTCTAATCCTAGTAGATGATGTACTGGTAGAAACTTCATGACTGGTAGATTCGACGTTTTCTTCATTTTCATTCTGAGGCCTTTCAACGCTCTGCAATTCCTTCTCATCAGAAAGATTATCAAATCCTGAAGACTCTTCCTGAAATACGAGGATCTGTGCAATTAGGTGTAGAATTTATCTGCCCGTAATGTAATTGTTTATCAATGAAACTTGAATCTAGAATCTCTATTATTCAGGAATAAAAGAACAAAACTCAATCTTTCAAACGAGATTATCGGTAAGCAGCTTCGCTCTAATTTAGTCGAATTAGAAACACCTGGCGTGAAAATATGAGTATTATATTGATTTTTTTTCGAAAGATACTGAGGCACTAAGTTTCAAAGAAATTTAAATATATAACACAGAAATTGAAACAAAATGTATTCCATTCTCCCCATTTATACGTTTAAAGGGGTTACCACTAACTAGCTCAGCTATTTAACCGACATTGGCAAGTATTGCAATAAGCATATATTCACGCATATTTTGAAATATAAACAACAATAAAAATCACCTCATTCTCATCTATTGACCAATCCTCATTTACTACTCTATTCGGTATAATACATTCATCCTCACTTGGGTCGGTAGGAGGTGTGCAACATATTAGAGGAGAACTAGAAGATAATTCCTGCAAATCATGTTAATGCATTTTTATTGTTATATTACTAAACCTTAACTTACCGACAAAACGTCATCAAAATCATTTCCACAATCAGTTATAATTGGCTTGACGGTCAACTCCTAAAATGACCAGATATAGGCTTAATACAATTCCAACAAAACTTTTGGCTAAAATTTTTTGTTTGAGTATTCACATAGTAAATCCAAGAAGGGATATAAAGAAGTTAGATCTGAGGGTAGCTTTAACGGCATCAGAATTTGAACCCGGAACCTTCCGAATCAAACGGTTATGCTCCAAAAACTAATTATACGGGGTTAATTGAATTTTGTACAAGTTCATCCCCTGTTAGTGTCACTTTTCTCAAATCTTATATCATTCTAATCGACGTACACATGAAATGCTAGCTACTTTACACTATCGATGAAAGAAGATAATTGCACTTTCATGTTTTTGCTATGAACTTCGCCATAGCATAACCATTAGGGTATGGAGGCTATTCTGTTAGCTAAGTCCATCGCTAAATGTCTATACTAGGTAGGCATGACTTTACTGATCTAATAGCTGCTTGCTATCCACTGACCTATACGGGACAGGTGTATTCCTGTTGAGATTGACTCTATTTGGTATATGGCTATCTAAAATTAACATTGAGCTACGGAATTATTGAAAAATATAGCCTCCAAAGTATGGTGGTTATATGTAGAAGCTTGTTATTGCCAAGTACACAATGAAAACACACTGTAATTAACTCCTCTCAAAGAACCTTTCCTCATTCATTTCAGAAATGTTGATAAAATAAGCATTCCAGCGACAAATCAAATTTTACTTGGTTATGTTCAAATGTAACTAACATAGAAAACATACAAATTCTCGTTTTTGATTTTACGTCCACACCTGTAAAACCAATTTGATTGAACACATGTAAGACATCTAACCCCGCAGAAATATATACGTAGATAACTGAATTTCTATAAATATATTTTACACTACTTGCTACCAGAAAATGGAACAGTTACTAAAATATTTTATATCATATACGGTCAGAATAAATCAGGTTCCAACGAAACAAAAAAGCTTATTTTTCTGGAAGTGCAGTTTTTTTTAGTACAATTATTACTAACTGTTCTAGTATGAACCATAACACATATATACTTAACTCACCATTTTTAACGCAGCCATTCTTCTACTCGTTTCTTGTGGTGGATCAAGCGGTCTGTTACAAAACCAGTTAGTTTTCTTTTTGTTTGAGAAGTTTGAGGAGCAAACCTCATACTATAAAAAATTAGCATAGTCAGCAGGTACAAAATAATGAATAATTCATTTTTGCGTCTTTTGTTAAGATTTAAGCAGCTCCGCCAAAGACTTTTGCGACTAGTATAGCTACAATTTTGGTCTTAATCCTCTCCTGAGGACCCAACATAGTTGGCGAAAAACGTGCCGAGCATTAAATAGTAGTGTCTCGGATTGAGTATCGTTGTATGATTACACCCAGTAGAAGCATTTTTCAATTTTCGCCAAATCGATTGTTTAAACAAACTTTATAAACTTCTTTCTCATTATATTTTGTTTTCATCATGCCACTGTGAAGCTAATTGGTCGTGCATAAGAAGAAATGTACACCCTACCAGCGCGTAGGGCAATTTTTTTTTCAAATATTCTGTTCTACATATTAGTTACAGGGCTTGATTTAACAGTAATTATTTGAGTGTTTTGTCTGTATTTAATTTATACTTACATAATCTGCTGGATATGAATTATGTTGCTCCATACTACAAAAATTCACACTTATAACCTTAGTTTTCACGTGGCCACGACTGGCGACAGCTTGTGAAACACCGCTGACTCCCGTATGAAGAAAGCGTAGTTGCGCATATTGCTTTGCTAATTCAATCCCGTAAATATTATTCGAGACATACAACAAAACATTAATTGCTGGCAACAGCGCGTGGGTGATCTATCCACTGTGATATACATATTACGAGTAAAGCGGATGATCTATATATCTCCAATTTGGATGGAGGGTATATAAGTGGGTGATCCATGGGCATCATTCTGGCGGATGACTTGTAGGCGATCAAATGTACAAAAATGGTATATTTTTTCTGTGTTTTTTGTTGAATTTGATAAAAGGATAACCTTGTTAAAGATATATATGGGCAGAAATAAGTATATTCATATTCCTTCTGATGGATGACTTATAACTGCGCCAGCTGTGGATGACCTAAAGCATACGTGATGTAAATATATATATATATATGCTCATATAGGTACAACGCCATCTTTGTGACAATCACCTCCACATGGTATCTTATTTCAACTCAAATAATTTTTTGGACACCGAAATACAGTTTTAGGTTGGCAATTTTTGGGGAGAATGCTTTAATCAAAGCCAAAGCCCATTGGCAAAACGAAATACTTAGATTTCATTCATATTTCGTATATTTCTCCCCGCATTTCTAGTATTCCTGCAGAGAAGTTGTACTTAATATTTGTTTCGATAGGTTATCAGGCGTCACAGTGGCGTACCTGACGATCCCCAGTCTCCGTGTGTTTGGGGGGGAGGGAGGTGAGGTGAGGAGAAGAGGTTCATTGATAGTTCTACAGGAGTGGTTAGGTATAGCTGGTGTCTCAGGTACGCCACAGCTAAGGAATTTTACTGTATACCATGATCAAACGGTTCTAAAATAGAAATTATCGGAATTGATTACATAAAAAAATGAAATGGATATTTTGATGTATAGAAGGGAAATAACCAGATTATTTATAATTTCTTATTAGACTGGATAGAAAACATCTTTTACTAGGATGGCTCAATGGAATGCCCTCCTTGTGGTCTACAATTTTTTCTAAACATTTTTGAACCTTCCTATTTTGCTCCACCGCCTTAGAGCACAAATTCGTATCTTAAGGATGCCAAAGCTTAACTGCAAATATTTGGAATTTATCAATTATGCAAAGGCCAGATGTAAATGAATACGGTAGTTTTTTTTCTCATAGGGCATTTCATTGGGAATTAATTATTGAAATGACAAGTATAAGTTAGTGAAATTGTGATACTTAGTGCTTTAAAAACACGGCATGTGTAATACTAAGCTTCTTAAGATGTAACTGTGCCAAAACAAAACAAATTGTTAGTTGATAACAAATGTTTATGTGAAAATATGGTTTCTTCGTTGAGATCAGCGAGGACCTTCTCAAAACTGAGTTTTAATCCGTGATGTTGGCGGAAAACGTCTGTAAAACCTGGGACATTTGCACCTGAGAACGGTAACCGCATTGTATAATTTCTATGTGCGTACTCAACAACAGATCGCACGCTTGATGCTACCTCCATTGGCAAAAATACAACTTACATTTTTGTTCTTTGAATTACGGAATCGCCGAAAAGTAAGTGGCTGGGGTCTGACTGCCAGCCGCTACAGTGTTACCATAAACAGATACAGATTTCCTGAGATCTACAAACTTTTCCGCCAACCACACGGTTTAAATTTGAAACTTTCGTTTGAGACGAAACTCGAAGAACGTAACTAAACAATGTATGCCATTTTTCATACAAAATATTTGCTTCGTAGTTATAAGTATAGTAGTTCATGTCACAGGACACTAAAATCAGTAGTGCCATGGAAAGTAACAAAACATAAATATGGTTCCCCAAGATAAGTCCTCTAAAATTAGTATAATTCTGCTTGAAAGTAACAACAAATTTAAAGGAGATTTAATGTTTTAAAATTAACTATAATAGTACTACTATTACGAACACAATTTGGAAGTCTTAGACAATTGCATTTATAGTTTATAGTTATCTTATTTTATGTTTAACACGTTCGCTGCCACCACTTACTTTACAAACTTGGTTGATAGCCGACCCATTTTTTTTTTTAAGAAAACAGCCATTTTGGTGAAATTATAAGTCATTAGATATGAGATTGGCTTATTTTTTATTATTTTTGTTTATTCTGTTGCCGGTGCCTGCCCATACGCACAGATTGACAGCCAACGCCCGACTAAACTGAAGTCAATATAAACCTTAATCGTCGGCTTAACATGCAAATGTCGTAAGTCCCAGGAGGCAAATTTTACAGGAAGGTGGAAAAACTGTTTTCATTGATGCATGACGCTTATTAATCGGAACAACCTATCATAGTATGTAATGAATAATGTTCAAATTATTATTTTTGAAGAATTTTGGCAATAATTCGTATTGGGTGGTTTAATATGGACTTACTACATTTGCTTAGGTATTTGCTAAAATTTAGTGGAGTTACTACATTTCTTCTAGATCATACAACGCATATTCGTAGTTTTTTGACTAGTGTACATTAAAAATATATTAATAGTTCATTTTATAGTAAAAAGAGACTAACGATTTTGTATCAATTTTTATTTTACTCACTAAAAAGTAGCAAAATGGATAAACGTACAACACAAATACAACATAACGTACAATCCTAAATAAATTGAATAATCATAAATATAATAATACTGATTATGGAGCTTAAAATGTACATACATTTAGCTTTTGAGTTACAACATTGTTAACAGGATGAAACTTAACTAAAATAATTATTGGTAGATAATTAGTTTGGCACTTTAAATAATAATACTTGGAAGGGAGATATATATATAAAAGAAAACTTATTCCTTAAATGGCAAATTATCATAAAACTGATGGTAATCTTTGATTAAACTTGTTTTTAAGATTTGGAGATGATCATATTTGCTTTTTTTGATAGGGATTTCATTTTGGTATAACTGTGGTAGACTATCAAAGTCTGTAGATGTAGTTTTATTTGTGTTTCTAAACTCTAGGGGGACATAATTTGTGTTATGTCTCAGTTTATATAAAATGGATCCATCAGGCACGTAAATCGGTCACTACAGGATCACCAACTTTTTTGCCAGGCCTTAAGGAATTAAGAAATTTGATTCTTTCAAAATTTTTGAAAAAATCATAGCTTAAATATTTCACTACATATGGACGAGGGTTTTTTCTTGCATGGAGGCAGACTCTCACATAATCTGCAGGAACATGGAAGTATTTCTTAACTTTCTTTCAATGGAAGAATGCATTGAGTCTGCCTCCATTTGGGTATGACCCTTTTCTAAATATTTTTGTTCAATATTAATCCCGTAAAACATACTCATATTAATTAGTGCATTGGAAATGGTAACATTTCTATTTTGGGACGTACATCCATCACTCCACAAAATCAGTGATTTCTCTTTTTCGAGATTTTTTAACACAACTTGTTTAATAAAATAACATAATATGGAAGCATAATCATTAGCGGTTACACCACCTGCTGATTCATGCCAGATAAAACAGTAACCGTCTTTAGTTTTCATATTGTAGATGGTGAAGTTATGAACCATTAACTTGGTTTTAAAATATAGTGAGGACACATTTGATTTGGGGCTCAAAAGAACTGCCTGCATATCCATGCAATATACTTCATTTTCTGAAATTTTATCCGCCTCCTTAGCTTCTCTAGCTTCCTTCTTCTTCTGTTGGTGTATGAGAAAATCTGACTCCGAAATGTTACCTGTTCTGTGAACTACACATTTATCGCATTCGTCCTTTTTTGGTTTAAATAGGCTTAAATTCAGTTCGTCGAAAACATGAGTAAATGTTGCTATGGAAAGATGATCAGTATTTTTTTCTTTACACCATATTTCCTTATAACACCTGTATAAATCATACTTCGACGTCCAAGTAGGCTCTAAGTATATTTTGTTTGAACTGCTTCTACAGAAATGCGATTCAAGTTTAGGAATGTTTTCAAAAAAATCTTGTAAAAACTTTTTCATCCCAGTGTATTTCGATATTCTTCCTCGCTCGCCTTCCTGTTCACTAGTCCTGCTCACATCATTTGATGAATTTTCAGCAATCGTTACATTCCGCTCATTACTTCCAGTATACTTCCATATATTTACCATGCTTTCGCCCATTGCAATTGTATTGAGGAACATTTGCTTGCAGACCCTAATTGAATCATCATTTTTCTTCAAATAATATAAAGATGAAAACTGCCGTCTAGAAGCGCTCTCGTCTTTCCTATTTCTGTGTCTTCTGGTTTGCTGATTTTTGACAGACATAAACAAACGTTTTTCTCTGCTCCCAGTTCATCTTATCCCAAAATTTAGAGAATATTTTTTTTCGGTCATCATCTGTTAGTTTCTGACATTCTAACAGACTGTTACTTTTCTTGTTAGACAGTTTGCATTGACAGCGGGGCCCCATCATTCTTTTCGGTTTTGGAGTTGTCTTCCAGACACCATCAATTTTTTTTCTTCCTAAATATTGTTCTCCTCTTTCTCTATCAGATTTGTTTATGTTTTGCTTCCACGTATTTTCATTAACCAAATGCCTTCTTCTTCTTTTTCTAGCAGGTTCTATAGGTTCGTCGCCACCGGATGAGTCTGCAGTAGGAACGTAATTTGGATCGTTCTCACACGGAATTTTATTTGTTTCAGACAAGAATTCGTGTTCTAATATTGCTAGTTACGGGATAACCTACGAGTAGTTCCCTCTCAAATTCTAATGGACCGGTGGGCTGTCCAGGAGACTTCACATGTTGAGAATTGGTAGAAGGGTCATTATAGATTACGTCACTCGTGACCGAACAAGTCGGAAATTCACTGGTGTCAAACAAATTTTTAGTCACTTCTGGAATATCCAGAACCAAAAGATTTTCATTGGAAGATTGCGTGTGGCATTCGTTTGTGGATACAAAAGACATTATTTTCATCGTCCTTGAATGATAGTTTGCCATTTTCCTGTAACAGAAACAAAATGCCACTATGAGGAGATACTTAACTGAAATTAACAAATATCTACTCTTGTCTTA